GCTGGTAAAACAAAGATATTTTTAAAGTGCAGTCAGTAGAAACAGTCACTCCTATTCCATGTATAATCAAGGATGAAAAGGCCACGAAAAATACCACTGCGCTTTGCAAATGAGAGGTCAATTGAAATGTCAAGATATCAAATGTTAATGGATTGCATTTTCAATGATGGTTGGGACAGAAAACCATACCAAGCCAAGTCAGACGCCCTTCTGAGGAGAAGACGAGTTTTAGGGCAAGAAAAGACAATAAACACCAGAGGGTCTTTCTGGTTAACAAACCTGTGGCTGATGGAAAACAAACATATTTTAAAAATATAAAAAAAAGCAGCGGGATTTTAACAGAGCTATAATCCCAAAACATGCATCTGGAAGTCATGACATCTACAGCAAATATAAGCATATGCAGGTGTTTGGGGGAAATGCCATTGCTTCCTACTGAAGATTTTCAAAGGGATTATAAAAGAAGAGAGTATAACAGACACTCAAGGAAGGCAGTGTTTTCTTCCCTGAAGCAAGAAGTCAATTCCAATATTCTCAGAGTTCTACAGCAGTTCATGGACTACATGGACCACTCTTAAAAGCATTCATTTTCCATTTAAAAAATATTTCTCTCTTACAAAACCATTGTATTTCTTAGTGTTGGATGACATCAGATCTAAGCCAAATCATTCTTTCACCTACCCACATTTTCCCAAGGAATCCGTTTGGGCATTTTCATAAAGAACTGTAATCTGAGGCATTTGTTTAGAGTGATGTTATATCAAGTCCTTAGTCAGAAGGGCACTGCCATGCAAAGAACTCATCTCTTTAATATGGAAAACAGTGAAAAGAAACTAGTTATCTTCTTAACCACTGTCTCTGCCCGACTAGTAGACACACAGCCTTCCTTTCCCAATTGCAGAGAGACTTGCCTTGTGTCTGTATTAGCTCACTAGTGGGCTCACAGAGTTCGAGCATTATTAGTGGCTTTTGAGTAGGAAGACTCCCTGGTCTATACCACAGAGATATGCAATATCAGGAATGAAGAACAGTGAGTAATCATTTGCTCTTTTGTGTAAGAATAACTGCTTGCGTGGATTCCGATGAATATATGAGGGAAAGGATTTAAAATAAACAAAAGACGGTATTTTTTCACACACTATGGTGCTCATTGCCACAGGATGTTGTGGGGACAAGAGGTATAAACAGATTTTATAAGAGATTTTGCATGGAGCATAAGTCCACTGGTACCTCCTAAACACAGGATGTGTGGTTATGGAAGTGTAAAATGCTGTGTGCAGGAAGGTGGGAGGATACTCCCTGTCGAGGATGCCTCCATACTTGCTGTTCTTCTTACCCCACCTTCTGCGATTGGCAGAGATAAAGCAGTGAGTTGCTTGACCTTCAGACAATCTATGTTAATGCACAGTCTGCCAAGCCAAGTGTATTTGTACTTGAGAGTGAGGCCTAACCCTGATTGTGCCTGGGTCTGAGGGGATCCTGCAGCTCAACCCACTGATAAAAGACAAGTGATATTGTCCAAGTCAACATGAACATGACTGCTCTAGGCTCTATGCTGATGGGCCTCCCATTGCCTACCCAAGTCTGGAAAAAAGTCTGGGAAGAGTGATCTTCAGTTGGGTTTCAGAACAAAGCTGCTACTGAATTTTAATGTTATCACTGTTCTCCCCCTTTCATCAAAGCACAGGGTATATAGAAGATTATTGGATGTGTTCTAATTCAAAACCATTTCTCATGTAACAGCTCTTTAGAAATCATAAACCCTCCAAAGGGTAAACTTGTTTAAGTCATATTACCTCTTTCAGACTCAGGGACAGGATCAGCATGATAAGGAATAGCAAGTAAGAAAGTATCTAGGACTTTGCATCCAAGAAATCCATTTTCTGCTATAGACTCTCAATGAAAATATGGATAAAACCAATGGGAGAAAGCAAGTGGTCCTTATACGACAAAGGCAGGAGAGCAAGTTAAATGTAATGGATTCTGCAGTTATGGGGCCAACTTGGAGCCACATACAGATAGAAAAAGTATTATGTTTCTGGAAAAGTAACTGCACTATTTCCACCGCCCAAAAAACCCCAAACAACCCCACAAAAAAAAAACCCAAACAGTTCTGCAGACACAGTGAATTCTTAGCTATTTCCTGTGTGCTTATTTATAGTAATATTATGTCAGATTATGCTACCAATACATAAAAATTAGTTCCTATGGATGTGTTGTGTCTTGAAGTGCTACAAGCAACACAGAATTGAGACCAAGCCTTCTGAAGGAGCCAAATGCTACCTGCATGTACCTCGGCCGTCAGGAAGTTCATACCAGTTAGTCTAAGCACCTAGAGACACTTGGACATTAAGAAACCAGCTGCTTGGCTGCCTTACTGAACTGTAGGAAGGAAACTTCTTTGGTTTTTTCCCCTCCTTAAGTGTTAAGTGCTGGAGGGATTCAACAGCACAAAAAGAACAGTAAACTTCCTCTCGAACATTAAACCAGAGACATTAATAAACTGAGCAATGAAAAGTAAGCAGATCATTTCTACAGAAATCTTCATCATGCTCCTAAACTAATATGTTAAATAGCGGCACTATGAGGCCCTGTCCAAGGACTCTATATAAACCACAGGCTTTAAAAGGGAGTGATTTCTGATTCCATTTTGGGACACAAGAACTATGTCAGCACAACGTAAAAAACAGGAAATTTTTTATGCTAATGAAAACTGCGAATATTTTATATATATATTTATATATGTAAAAAAAAAAAATTGTAACAGATGTCAAATGCAGTTAGATTCAACTCAACTTATTAGTGCATGGCTTTTAGCCAAAAGCAATTCACATTTGCAGAAGTGTACTATCACATATGTCTTAATAACAGAAATGTGTTTTTAAAAATGTATGTGATAAGTCACATATGGTAGAAGGAATCTGTACAGCTTTCAGCCCTTATGACAATGGAAGCTACTAACTTTATTTTGAATAGCTGAAGAACATTAAAATTCAAGTGAAATTCTCTTTGACATTTGAGAGCTACAAAAGCAACGACTAAAAGCTAGACAAGCCTGAGCTGTACTAAGTGTGGCTGTGATGCTTATATAAATACAATCCATATCTAGTACTGCTATCTTAAAGACACTATTCTTACTTTTGCCCTGAGAGGTAATATTTTAGCATAGAATCATAGTTGTATACGGGTACCTTAAATAGTTACATGTCTCTGAAAAATACTAGGCATATTTTTCAGCTGTTTTGTTATGCAGAGTGTAATTAATATGTATAATGGATTCCCTAGGGTACTAATTGAAGCTGCCACCATGAACATAGTCAAAGAGAAGTTAAACAACCAGTTGGGGGAAACATGACAGGGTGAAATATGCACATGTAGGTGGAAAGAGCATCTGGCCTTCTTCCATTCCAAAATATTACACTTACTCAAGTCTCATAAAGGAATGATTAAACCTGAATCACCCTTTCCCCCCCACTCCCAAACCTTTCTGGTGTATTAACTACGCATCAGTGTCACACACACGCTGTTTAATGACTGCAAGGCTCAATCTCTCTATTATATGTGGGAAAAGTCAATTCAGCTGAGCCATTGCTGAGAATTTGACTCAAAATATTAAAAAAAAAAAAGGGAATGAATGATACATTATTATTTTGGAGTTGTTCCCCAGCACTCTCATCACCTTGCAACTCCTGGATCTTCTAGAATGTGAGGTGAAAACACAGCTCATTTCACACTCTCTATTAAACAATGACCAGCTAACAATGACTTTAATTCAGCTTGCACTGAATTTGAACTAGCACTATAGGCAAGACGGATCCCTTGTCTTATTAGAAGTTTCATGTGCTATCAGGTCCTGGCTGGATCCTGTTTCTAATTTTTATCAGATTGAATGAAACATAAAGAGAGAGTGATTTATGACTATCTTGCATCTTGCCTAATCACTCCAAGGAGTGTTCATACACATTTTGCATTCACTTTATAAGGTGTAAATGACTATACACGATGGAAGCCAAGTGAGAAGTAGAACTGTATTCTTTTGTTATGTGTGCTAAAACACAATGATTTGTGAGTCCTGTCAGTGCATGTTCTTACAAATACAAAACCACTCCAGTCCAAAAGCCAGCATGATCAGCAAACTACAATAAAAATAAGAACATTTCCTCTGTCTGTAACAGGAATATACAGTTACTGGGACTTAGTCAAACTGCAATGATCACCTGCTGAAGCTAAAACTATGTGTTTTATTGGTACATAAGAGCCCATTAAGACCGGAGTATTCATTATTTAAACAGAATCACTGATTGCTGGTAGCTTTAACTGAAAATGCCTTTTCTCAAAGAGCCAGGACATCTATATAGCAACTTTCTTAATTCAATGATATATGGTTGAGTGTTGCTGCTAGTGCCCTAAGATTTAAGAACTTCTCATAAAATGCCCTGGAAATTGCTCCCTGGTAGCTTGCTCATCCTTCACAGAGCCCTACTGTAAAAAGCAGAAACATACGTGTGTGTGTATGGTGTGAGAGAGACGCACACATGGAGTGAGAAAGAGGTCTTAATCAACAGGATGGCAAAGCCTTGATACATAGGTGCAAAATATTCCCATGTGTCTAGAAATCATTTGGCACATTCGTAGTTATTTCCCCCCTGTCAGACCTTCTCAAGGATTGCAATTAAAAATCATAATCTTTTTAGCATGTACAAACCTCCCCAAGGCTAGGAGCACTATGCATTGAGTATGACTGTGATATTATTTGGCAGCTATTCATAGACAACACATTAATTTATGGAAACTGGATGAAACTTGGGGAGTGCAATCATTAGGGACACATGAGAAATCGAAAGCTTTCCTCAATGATACCCACCTTTTTATAGCTACGATTAGGGGCAGTTTGAATTCTATTATCTCTTTCATTGCGCTTTGTACTGTCCTAGTCTTTTTAGTGATTGTATACAACTTCATTAAACTTGCATTTTCAAACGGATATAAAAATAACTTACTTTACAGGAATGTTTCTCAATTTTGTCTTTTCAGCAGCCTGTAAACAGAAGAGGGGTGGGGGAAACAAACAATTAAGCAACACACGAAAGCACAACCAAGCCACAAGCAAACATCAACCCGTGGATATTCTTGAGAAGCGCCCAGCCAGGCAGCCTGCCGCGGCAGGGGCAGAGGGCTGCAGGAGCCGGACGCTTTCAGAGAGACAGCGCTACAGGTTGCCCCAGTTTGTGATATCAGTGTGGTTTGTTTATTTTTAATGGCCACGAGTGTTTAGGAACCGCTCGTTCAGGGCAATTACTTCATTTCCCGCTCTGAGATCTGGCCCCTTTGCCACAAGCTATCTGTCCGTATCTGGAACGAGAACAACAGGAAAAAATAAAGGGAAGAGCGAACTCCGTTTCCAAAACAGTTTTTATTCGCCAACAATAGAAAAGGGCAAGGGATGACCAAATGTTCAGATCAATTTCCTCTTGTGAAACCTTTGAGAAAACACACTCCAAATCATCTAAATGAGTAAATCTTTGGGCCTCTCGGCCTGCACCACCTCAGACATGGAGCCTGGTTCCAGTTTATTGCTGAACCCATTGATCTGTGTACAGTCCATTTATCATTCATGAAAAGAGCCAGTGATCTTCACAGTATATTAGAAGAAACAACTCAGATCATCTGTCAACGGCCCTCTTATTTCTGTTTCCCTCTCCATAGGGATTTCATCTCCTTCGATTCTTCTTGAATTAAAATGTTGCTAAGCAACACAGCTGGGGGCACCGATGGCAGAGCTGCGCCAGTCTATCACACTGGTTAAGCTGCTCAAGATTTTAGTGGAGATATTTTTTTTTTTAATGTTTCTGTGGCATAATTATGTAATCTGAACCAACCTTGCATCCTCCCTCTGATTTTTTTCAGCATAGGTAAATAACATTTTAATGCAAGAGGACTTGAAATATCGCCTTCAGATAAACTACTGTTGTCGTATCATTTCAGAGAATTCCTCCTAGTGTTTGCAGAACGAGACTGTAATAGATTTAAATGTGGAAAGCGGTCAGATGGTTAGTGAGATTACAAGCACAGATAGCGGTCAAAGGCAGAATTAAGACAACTGATCCATAAACCTATTATAGTAAGGAAAGTTTTAGTGCTTAATTACCTTCAGAGACGTTTTTATAAAGCCTACCAAAATTGAAGAGAAGGGTTTTGGTGAGGAACTTTAACCTCTGCTGTCCTTCGGGATGGGAATAAAATGGTTCCCACATAGGAACTGCTAATATTAGTGGTCCTGAAAAATGGTCACGTGAACCCTTAAGGAATTAAATCCTTTATGAAAACCAACTAACTTTTGAAACCTCTGGGACCTGCACAACTGGGTTCCAAATTTTGCCAAAATGGCAAAATTTCCTTTGGGCTCTACCATGGGGCTAGTTTTTCAAAATACCTGCTGTTTTGGCACTTTTGCCTCCAATCATAGCAAAGACAAAATCTGTGTTTAAATCCATGGAAATCCCTAATAATGAGTTTAAAATTTGGGAGAAAGAATTAGAGCTTGTGAGAGCTGAGACGGGTAAACAGCAGTCCTCTGGGCTGGCTCCCAGTGTGCAAAGAAAAATGTGTTTGTTTCATTTGGACTATTTTTTCCATCTAAAGAATAAATCAATGAATGCGTGATAGGAAACAATTATATTAATTGTACAGTAGGGTTGCTAAATAAAACACTTAAAGCTCAGGAAACGTTAAACTTAAGATTGCACAAGTGTTACAGACCCAACCCTAATTATGTCCTCTCAAACAAGCCTATGATGAAATGGGGTCCCTGCCTCATTAGCGAGATAATGCAAGTTGTGCCTCTTTCCAATGATACTCTCCCAAATCTCCCTTTTTCTGCTGCCACGTGCAAATGCAGAGTCAGAAGTATGTTATTAAGAAATCTTTCTGAGTAATAAACTACATGTAACAACACACAAAAGCTTCATTTAAAATGAATTAAAACACCATCAAAAATGGCATTTCAGTTTCCCAAGCCTCCCACTAAATGCCAAGTTTCACTCCCATCCTGCAGGGAACTAAAATTATTTTTAAAGCTCATAAACAGCCTTCCACAATGGAAGAAGTTTTTTTGACTGTACAGTGATATTTTGCTTGATCCTTCTATATACCAAATAGCTGGACTAAAGCAATTCTGAGTTCAAGGCATGTGAAACTTGCATCTAAATCATGTTTTTTTCCCCTGAATTATTAAAAAATCAGTACACAAAAATGGGTATCAAAATACAGATAAAGAAAAGAAAATAGAAGAGTGGAGAGTGTCTAGGATTACAAATAAATAATAATAATGTAGTCAATTCTAATACAAAATAAAGCAGAAGATATTCTGGAGAGCATGTGCGTGATAGTGTGAGCTAAACTGTTTACATGAAAGATTAAAGAAGATGAAGATATTTCAGGGCGTGAGAGCTAGCAATGTCAAAGTCACAGAATACTAAAGAGCATAGGCTAAACTGGATGTCTGATTTTTGACTGCTTAGATATGTTGATGGCAACTGCTTACCCTGAAAGAAATGCGGTAGCTTTAGGAAGAAAGAATTATAGATATATTTTACTTTCTTGGACCATGAACATTCTAGCACATCTTTCCTTATTTTTTTTACGTGGAGAATTTCCACATTTCTTTCCCTTTGTTACTGGGAGAAGGCACTTTCCTAACTCTTAAGAAAAGGCACGTGCTGGAGAGACAGTGTCCTTCATACACATGCTAACTCTATAGAGTTCTAAACAAATATTGCAAATGCGCTGGCTACATGCCAGCGTAGTTTAACGTTGGATGATCAAGCAACTGGTCATTTCCTATTACAAATGATTCAGTTTGCCTCTGAGAGGGACCATGGTGATGTTAAACACAGCACAGAATACGTCAGGGATTCCATCTAAGAAAGAGACGCAGAATCTGGCCTTCTGCTTTTATTTGTCTTGTAGGTGTTGCTCATTCATTTTTCAAAGCATATTTGTTGCGATATCACGAGCATGCTCAGTGGCATGAGATAAAGGAAGGCAAAATCAAAGTGACATTGAGTAACTCTACACATTAAGCTTTGATGCAGAAACATATTGTTTGAAAATATTTGGTGTGCAGCAGGTCTGTCAATTAGAGCTAATTATTTTTCTCTGATCAGGAAGAATGCAATCTTGTTTTAGGCAGGTTTCTTTGAAATGTACGTCTTTTATATAAACTTCATTATAGGAAAATACTTCTTCCAAATTACTTTTTTTCTGGGCTGCTTAGCTATTGACTCAAATTGTCTGTGTTGAGTAGTTCTGTGCTTTGATAATTAACTTTTGATCATTACTGAATTTAGCAGCTCTAGTCAGATGTGTTCATAGCCATCCTCCTCAACTATTTCAGTGTTCATCGCCTTTAATCTTTGAACAAAATGATCTCATTGAGCCTCCATCAGCCTCGCTACTCAGTTAATAATTCCTGTTTCTCATCTTCATGACTGAGTTTGATTTGTTTTAGACTTGATAAGAGCTTTTGATTATTAATTTAAGACATTTCAAAGACAAACATGTTTTAAGAGTTTTTGTGTAATCTTATATTCCTAGGCCTTTACAAATAAGAAACTGGCTTTAACTCCACAACTATTTCTAAACTTCATGTATTAAAAGTACTATCTAGAAACAGAGCAGGTAGGAGGTCCCTAAACCATGATACATAAGCCCTGAGTGGGAGACGATGCTGCAAAAGACTGGAATGAAATTGAACTGGTATAATGTAATATCCAATGGGTGTTAGGAGAATTACATCATGGGACCTTTGCTAATTTTGAGCTTGAAAACACGCATTAAAATAATTTAGGATGATTAGAAAATGGAAGCCAGAGTGAACTAGACAATCATTCCACTTTAATTTGTAATTTCCTTCTGATTCTTTTTTTACAATTATGGCCTTTCCATAATTGTGCCTCTGCTCTCTAAGACCTTATTTCAACAGCCGACTCTTGTGTTGAATAAGAAGGAAGAAGATGAAGAATACATGAAAAGCAGTAAGACGCAGAAGATCATTCATCAGAGAGTATTTGCCCAGGGATGATTTCCCATGACTTTTACAACTGTGAATGACTCCTACCTCTTATGTTGCATTACACCTGATTTTGGCACTAATTTTTTTTTAGCATTAGTTCAAGAACCACCTGCACTGACTGCACTGTGCTTTTCTTGATCTGTAGTGTGGGTATATACATAAACTTATTTTGTTAGCAGATACCTATTACACAAAAGATTAAACGTGGTAATAAGCACAAACTGCTTCTAGATTGTGCACAAGGACCACAAAATATGTAAAATGATGCTTTTCTTTGTCACTGTCAATTACTGGACTGGGTTTTGGATAGAAAGAACCAGAAAGAGTACTCCAGTCAGTACAACTTTCCTACATCACAAATACCTGAGGAGAATGAACTGACAAGAGGCTGGCTCAAAAATATCAAAGTAAAATAATTGGCACCTGTAGAAGGCAAATTACATTTTAGTCAGTGTTACAGGGGAAGTGTCTGCTATTCAAAGAAACTATATATTTTCCATTGCATAACTGAAAATCTGAGATTTTCAGGGAAAAGTATTTGATTTCGAGAAAACGAGATTAGACAAAAAGTATTTTTTAAGAATGCCTCCTCAGCCTCTTGATTCGGAAGCACTGATCAGCCACCTAAGAAGGCAGTTGCTGAGCCTCAAAGAGTCTCTTAGGGTAAGACAGATGGCACTTCATGCCACTGAGCATCTTGGCAGAAGAAGGAAGGTCTTCATGCTTTAACTTTTTCCATGAGCTGCTGCAAATCTAACTTAGGTTAACCTCCCAGTTTCTAACCAGCTCTGTATGCTTGGGTGAACAGCTAAGTGACTCAGCACAAGTTTACAACCCACCATGATGTTCTCCTCTCCTCTAGGTATAGAAGAGATTCCTTAGAGACCCAATTCAACAATCCAATACAAACAAAGACCCTTTCCACATTAGTTGAGTTTTATATATATAGTTTTATACATATATAT